ATGCTTATCTTTAGAAATGTTTGTGTGCACTGAAGTTTTAGACTTCAGTTAACAATACTCAAAGAAATGAAATGAATATGCTTTTATTAGAATAAATGTAAAAAAACTGATTGGAAAAAAGATGATCAGGCAATAAACTGAAATTGCATATTATGTAACATGCCATGGTTTGCCATTCCCTGCACTATACTAAGCTGTTATCTTTGTTAACATATGTTTGGAGTGAAAGTTATTTAATATTTTACATTTCAAACAAATATTAGTTTAATTAATGTAAAATGGATTTCTAGATTTTGGAGTTTAAAAATAAAGCAAAATGATAATGCCATCTTTAGTTTTGATTTTGTTAATTTTGAATCAAATTAGTTCAAAAATTATTGTAATTATTAGTTGATGTTAATATAAGATAATGGGTCTAACTGCCTGTCTTTTAAAAAAAATTATTGGGCTGCAGTTTGAAAAAAATTGTAGATTATAAATTTCCATAATAATCTGTCCTTAATCTTGTGAATGGAGATAAGGCAAGACCAGATATGAAAACTGGGGCATAATGATACTAAATAACGGGAATTTTGTAAAGGTATTATACATGCAAGTTTATGTGCATATTTGATTATGTACAGTACAAATAGTACTATTTCTATTTGTAGTTAAATTTTAATTTAAAAAATATACCATATATTCCGGCGCATAAGATGACCCCCGACTTTTGAGATTTTCCTGGGTTAAAAAGTCATCTTATATGCCGGAATATACAGTATATTTGCTACTCAGTGGCTACTTTTGAGTTAGTGACATTAATGTTGTGGCATTTTGCAGTAGAACCTTGGAAAAGGGTTATATTTTTTGTTAACATGTGGAATTGATGCTATTATGAAATGATGCCAGTGAAGAACAATAAGTTATAGATCCTGGTGTTAAGTTATGGGGGTAAAACTTAGATGGCATGTTAATATTGTCCAGAGTGACATTAATATTTAAAAAATAGAAGAAACTATAGACTCTTCACGTCCTTTCATACACCTTAGAAACAAAACTTTCTGGTGAAGTCAACCTTTTATCGGTTAAAGAATCTGTCCAATGTTGATTACTTTTTCTCTCTTCACAATTTTTTGGAATTAATTAATAGCATTGTCATTGTAGAGATTCCTGTGCCTATTAACCTGAACCTGGTTTGGATGCCATTCTAAGACTGTTGTTCTGACATCCTCCACTTCAAAAGTCAGCATTGGTCCTCTTTTTGTCTTCCTCTTTTCAGAAGAAAACATGTCTCTCTGAGATTTTTATCAGATCAGTTTTAGGTTCCATTATGAGCTCTTCGATGTCAACTTTATTCGCCTCCAATTCAAGATCTCTCACAGTTGTCACAATTTTATTCATAATTTTAGGGACATTATTTCATCTTTCTGAATGCAGGAGGGGGACAGCTTTTGCCAAGCAGAATTCAACTATTGTTAAGTGACTTCTGACCACGCCTTCTGAATGAGCCAATAGCTTTCTCTTGAATTATTATCATACTAGTTACATCTTTTTTCATTTCACTTTCTTTTATCCAAATTAAAAGCACTCTCTCCAGTTTTTAATGGATGACATATTTTTTTTCTCAGATGTGATTTTTGTTACTCCTTCATCTGCTTGAGTCTTCTTGATTATATCTCTTAGCTAAGATTGTGCCTACTGTAGACCTGTTCAAGTCATACTGCCTAGCACCACCAGGCATCTGTCAACTCGCTCTATCTTGGCTATTATCTCTTGCTTGGTTTCTATGGTGAGCACAGTTCTTGACACTCCACTCTTTTTAGGCTCCATAATATTATCAGTTTCTTTTCTAAATAAAAAGTTCAGAAAAGCACTTACAAAAATTCAGAGAACAGAAATGAACTACTATACAAAAACATTATTTAAATGTGAGGTCCGGACAAAATTCGAAATTTGGTGTTAAAACCAATGGGACAGTTAAACTCTCACCATTCGAAAATTAAAAACCAATGCAAAACTTAAGTAGTGCCCAACATTCTTGCGAAGACTAAAAAATTCTTTGTCAGAAAGGTAAACAAAAGGCTGGAATTAACAAGTGAGAGTTTCAAAGTTTGGAGGAATACTATCTGATTGGTGTTGAGTTGAGTGTCAGTGTTGATGTCTCCTGTGTTCTGAAAGGTTTTGAATTGTCACCTGGAGACAAGGGAAGACCAGTCAGTATTCATTATTTTATGTCTCTTCTTTTTGTGTTTGTTGTCTGAACATAAAAATCTATCGCAAAAATATTTGTTGTCTGATATGTTTACAGTTCAAACTGTTCGTTAACTGATCACCCACTATATTAGAAGCTACTTTTTCACTGTAATAGACAAAACAAAATTTGAAACATTCCAAGGTGATGGCACAGTAAAATAAAATATATTAATTAACATGCAAAAAACACTAGAAAAAAAAAACAGTTTTGTTTGTTCTGTTTTTTAGATTATATATATGTATTTCTTCTTTTTTTTTGGATGTGGTATAATTAGTTTTATGAAATTTTGAGTTTCCAGGACTTTACTGTATTTAATGGCTTGAGATGGCAATTTCTAAACTGCATATCAGTAATTATCTTGCTTTCAATGGCATTCTTAGAGACATGGGATATACAGTAGGGTAGATTATACAAAGATTTTATTCATTTATTTATTTATTTATTTATTTTTTTTGCAATTTTCTGCAGAGTATAGGCTGCTAGGTGTAATCTGCCTGAGATTATTGTATATTGTGATAGATACCTTTGTTGATCTTATTTATGTGTAACTTAGATTGTCATCATTTGTTTGAGCGAGTTATTTTGTTTTTAAGATTCTACAGTAATTTTTAAAGGAGGAAAACAAGTGCTAAGTAGATTGTAGGAGTCAAGTCTTTTTATTGATTAAATGTTTTATGAAACTATTTCATTCCATCATCAGATCCACAAAGCTCAAATGAAAATATCCGTATGTTGAGCACACAAAAGAAATTCAATATCTTGGGCAGTTTTTTAAAATTAGAAAAGAATTTTGTTTGATTTTATTAATTATTTAATTTAGATTTGTGCTATTTTCATTATAAATTCTTGCATTTTGCATGTTATAATTGTTTAGGTTTTGTCTAGCTAGCAGTCGTCATTATAATAGTATGTTACTAGTGAAAATATTTTTCAAAATACAGTGGAGTTTCGCATAACGAGTGACAAAGAGAGGGAAAGTCCTGAATTGTGTGCATGCTGCATCAGTCTGTGATTAGCACTCTGCACTCACTCCACTAGCATCTTAGTGTCGCTTGTGATTACGTATTTTTCTGCAATATTTTTCCATATTTATATGACTTTGGTTCATTCTTCGGGTGCCTATTCATAAGAACAAGTGCCCAAAGAATGAACCGAAGTCATATAGACCAATCAGCCTGTTGCCAGTCCTAGGGAAGGATTCTCAATAGAATCCTTAGTGACAGAGTGTACTACCATTTAAAGTGGAGAGGGTTCTTACACCCACATAACAAACTTGTGTTCACACATTACTTTTAAACATCAACAACCATAGCCTGTTATATAATAAACACGCCAAATGATATGCCAAATTATTGGGCTATGTAAGGCTATAATTAAATATTAGAAATTAATTAATTTGAATGGAGGTAGGCAGTTATGTTGCCATCTTGTATTAAATTTAATGACCAATTCCAAATTTTAGAAATACCTGAATTAAAAATTAACTATTTATAATTATTAAATTTAATACGAGATGGAAGCATAACTAACTGCCTACCTCTAGTCAAATTAATGAATTTCTATTACAGTCTATATATTCTATTACTATTTTAATTACAGCCTTTACATAGCCCAAGAATTTGGCATATTGTTTGGAATGTTTATCAAACATTATCTGTGGTTTTTGTTTTCTGCAAATCAAATTCGCATTCCAGGTTGGTTCATTCCATGCTAGAAGAAAAGATGATGATGATTCATGCTCTTTAACAATTCACATTGTACAATTTTCCTTGAATAAACGTTATACATAAAATATTTGAATATTTTTTCGGCGTGGAATGCATTATCATATTTTTCATTAATTTCTATGGGAAAATTGTTTCAATTAATGAGTGTTTTGCATTATGAGTATGATTCTAGAACGAAAAATACATAGTAAAACCTTGCTAATTTAGAATTCATGATAATTCAGACTATTATTTGCATTGTGTAGTTTTTAAAATAATGAATCTGACTTTAACAAAATTATCAATAGGTAGATGAATTTATGATTACAAATACTAATTAATTTAACTATAATTTTTAAAAATTTTATGGATTAGCTGCTTTTTTAAGCCTAAATTTGTTAAATGATGATTTATTGGTTATTACTATTATTAGTTAATAGTAATTTATCAAGTGTGTAATTGAGGTAACAAATCCTGGCAATTTGAACTTCTGTACTGCAAGATAAATGAGGATGAAAATTTAAAAATACTGGGTAAGACTGATAACAGAGCAATTATCAGTTAATAGCAGCACAGTTATTGTGACTGAGTGCATGAAAAGCGCTTAAAAATTGCAAAATTTACCTTAAGATGATAACTATTATTGAAACTGATTACAATGAGGCGGAGTTTTATGAGTGTATTTTAACATATATTTGGAATGTACTAATTCTTATAGCATGAAATGATTGATAAAAATTTTCACGAGTGGATTCTACTGTATATCATTTTACATTCCAAGTTAGGACTTAATACATGCTTTATTTATGGTATCCATCGGCAGGGTACATATTTTATTGTGATATCCTGTATGTGCCATTTGGCATGATACCTAAATCAATTCTTCCTGCAACGCAAGCCTACAAAATCTAGGTTTGTTACTTAATAGAAGAGACATTAATTTACTTTAAAATAAACTTAGAAACAAATAACTTTCTTGGAACTTTTTAAATCCAGAATTTCTATGTTAATTTCAAATGTAGTGGCATTATCAAATATTAATAGTAAATGTTTTTTACTAGGTGTTAGAACAATTGACGGGTCAACAGCCAGTTTTCAGCAAAGCACGCTATACTGTCAGATCTTTTGGCATTCGTCGTAACGAAAAAATAGCAGTGCATTGTACTGTCAGAGGACCCAAGGCTGAAGAAATTTTAGAGAAAGGACTTAAGGTGAGTTTATTGACAAAATGTATTTTAACTGTTTTGCAATCATTTGTCGGTACATCGTCAAGTAGTTTATTACGGAAACAAATCACTTGACGATTTATCGTCAATCTGAGAACTTACGATTCTTATAAAACATTCCATTCATAGATGGCACTACCTACTGTAGGTTATTCTGTATACCTGTTTCACATATTTAATATCAACTGGCATTTTATTTTTATTTTATTTTAAATATTTATAATTTTCTTGAAGCAAGAAATTTCTGTGTGTAAAATAACTGTTTGAATTTGTTTTAATCAAAATGTACAGAACAAAATGGCCATTCATGTAGGGTTACTCATGGAAATGAAGTATATAATCAAAAAATTTTATCCATGATTGAGTTGTGTAAATTATAAATAATATTCAAACTGTCATTTTTTTTTTTTTTGAGAAATTTTTTATGCTATTCAAAAGAAACTTTACTACAGTAAACAACGAAAAGTAATGTGTGTGTGTGTGTATATATATATATATAT